GCTTTGTATTGAATATCTAAGTGTGTAGTATTTATTTCAACACTTGAATTCTTGTTTATCTAAATAATCATATTTAAAGTGTGGATTAAATACCTTGTTGTGCTTATGTATTGAATGATTTTTATCCTTTTATGAAGTGAGTTATTGTTACTTTAATTATTCTTGTTCTTTAATGTTTCCAAAGGGATTAGCTAACCCTAGGACTCGCCCATTAACTCCGAATTAATTTTGGAAAAGATAATTTGGGGTTGGGAAAGATTAATTAACAAGAACTTGAGGCTTTAACCCTCATTTTATAGATTCTACCTAGGAATAGGATTGAACTACTTGTAGCCATATCCGGGTGTGCTTAATCTCCTAATTGTTTTAGGGATAATTCAATTAGGAAGTCTTGTTAGTCTTCGGAAGAAGCTAATATAGAATTATTATCCATGGCTAATTAACATAAACTCGCTCATATTTGTTAAATCATGAAATACATTGGATCGTTACTTGAGTGTAATTCCTAAAGCAACCATACTTGTAGCCTTTGATCATTTTACTTGCTTTCTAGGTTAGTTTACATTTCCACAATTAGGTAGAAATAATTTTTCAAATCAATTCTAAGTGTTTGGCATTGCATAACAAGTGATAATTCTCTTACATTCCTAATCGCCTACATATTGTTCTCTGTGGGATTCGACCCCGAGTCATAGTTGGGTATATTATATTGCAAGCGACCGTGTCCATTTACTTTTTAGTAGTGGATTTGGACGTCATCAGTCCTTTAAATTATGAGCTTGTATGTCTAAGTTCAGGACTAAGTGTCCTTAACTTTTGAACTTGTAACTGTACGTTCAGGACTACTTTTCTGAAATATCCTGAACTTCTAGAAATCTAGACAATAATACGAGATTTTCAGAAGTTAAGGACATTTTAGAAATTTATGTCCTTAATAATAGATTCATAATTCAAATTTTCAGGACTTTTAGAAATCTATGTCCTTAACTTTTACTTGTACCGATGTGATTTTAAAAAAAATGTATCAAGTTGAAGGCGTCAAATTCTATAAAGAAAAGGACTTTCTTGTTTACTTACAGCAAGAGCAAAATCCCATAAACAATAATTGGTCCGACAAAGGTAAATTGAACGCCCAAGAAAAAGAAAAAGAAACAAAGAGCACGTAAGCGCAAAGAAACTTTGAAAATTCAGGACATCTTTTATATAAACATCTGCTCAAATAAAAACAATCTAAATGAATCCAATTTATAGAAAAAACTTAAATGAGTAGACAAACATAAGTGGATATATCTATTATTCTCTATGCTTCCTTGAAAATGGATGGACTTCCGGAGAATATATACAAGATGTTCTATTATGACGAGTTCTTCTGCAACGACCACATTTGAATGTTATTTTTGATGACTCGGTAGCTAGAATATGCCTTTCTTCTGCCTTCTACCTGGTGGCACTTTGAAATCTGGAGGTTTAATAATTTGTGACTTAACACTCTCTGGTACAATCCAAGAATCAGTATGTCCTACAGGATGTATTTGTCTTTCATATGTTTTCAACCAAGATTCCTTTAAGTACCAGTGCGAGCAGAAATTGAACTTCTTGATGTTTCTCTTCTCGATAGCTGCAATTGCATGTATACATGGTAATTCATCAAATTGAAACTGATAACAATGACATGTTCTTTTGTTTAAGTCCACCAAGAAAGTAATTCCTTCTTCCTCAACTCTAAAACGCCATGAATCAACAGGGAAGACCTTCAATGTTTGAAAAATTATAAGTTAATACATTATGTTAAATTATCATTAATATAATAAGCTAAACAAAGAATATAATACTTACATTTAAAGTAAAAGCTAAATCTATCTTTTTATTCAATTCCTCTTCTACCCAACAAGAAACGTCATAATAAGTTCCTTCTGCTTTATTTCTTCTTTCATAAAACCATCGTTGTAGCTTCACTTGGATGAAATCCATCATTCTTAATATAGGCAGCTCCCTTGCTTCTAATAGCACAGAATTCATTGACTCAACTATGTTTGTTGTGAGCATGTCATATCTTCGTCGTGGACTACAAGAACATGCCCACCTTTTCGGTGGTTCTTCCATCAAGCAGTCAAAAGTCTTCTTATCAACTTTTGCTATATCTGACATGTATAAATCAAATTCTTTGCACCTGTATACTCTTGCAACACTTTGGAAAAGTTTTATGACCTCACTTTTCACTTTCTTTCGCTTTAGGTTATGCTCCATATGATAGATACAAATCCCATGGTGGCTTTCAGGATATACCTTTGCAATGCCATATGCAATAGATTGATTCCAGTCTGATAAAAAAATTAAATTGTCATGGCTCCCTATTGCATTTTGAAGTTCACTAAAGTACCACTCATAGGAATTGTTATTTTCAGATTCTGCAATTACGAAGGCTAGTGGGAATATTTGGTTATTTGCATCCTTTTAAACTGAAATCATTAAAACACCACGAAATTTTGACTTCAAAAAAGTTGCATCTACAGCAATCACTGGTCTACAATGATTCCAACCAGCTATTGATGATCCATATGCATAAAACATATATAGAAACCTGAAAATACATTATAACAGAAGGTTAAAAATACAGGACACCAAATTAAGGAAAGGTAGTCATTAATTTAAAGTTACAAGTTCAAAAGTTAAGAACAGGTTGTCCTTAACTAAGAGTTACAAGGACAAAAGTTAAGGACATGTAGTCCTGAACTTAGAGTTAAAAGTTAAAAAGTTAAGGATAGGAAGTCCTAAACTTAGAGTTACAAGCACAGAAATTAAGGACAGGTAGTCCTTAACTTAGAGTTACAAGTTAAAAAGTTAAGAACAGGCAGTCCTGAACTTACAGTTACAAGCACAGAAATTAAGGACATGTAGTCCTGAACTTAGAGTTACAAGTTCAAAAAATAAGGACATGCAGCCCTGAACTTAGAGTTTCAAGTCCAAAAGTTAAGGACAGGTAGTCCAAAAGTTCAAGTTACAAGCTCACAAATTAAAGACAGGTAGTCTTTAATTTAGAGTTACAAGCACAGAAATTAAGGACAAGTAGTCCTTAACTTAGAGTTACAAGAACAGAAATTAAGGACACCATGTCCTTATCTTTTTCACTGCACACATCAAAGTTAAGGACACCATGTCCTTAACTTTCTCACTACACATATCAAAGTAAAGGACACCATGTCGTAAAGTTTATAAAACAGACAAATAAACTCTTTTTGATTGTTTACCTATTGTTGTCGTCTATCTTTATGTTAGTATATGTTCCCAGGTTTTTACTTTTCATCATATACAAGTATGAATACAATAATTCATAATTCTCTTCAGGAGTTCCTCTTATTAAAGCTGAAGCATGTTGAATAGCACGTCACGCCTTGTGATAACCAATGTCTAGTCCATGCAATTTTTGCATTTCTGCCATGACAAAGGCTGGTGTAACTTTAAACCTTGGGTCTCGAAGATTGTCAATAATGTAACCACTAATCAACTTTGAGGTTGCATGACTTTGATCAGCTTTCATAGTGTTAACTGAGCAGTCATGATTTTTCTCAATCTTTACAATCTTGAACAGTGTTGAATCTTTAATTATGAAAGCGCACACACACCACCCACACCTATCATCATTGCATTTCAACGAATATCTTGTTGAGCTTGATCTAACAACCTTGAATTTAAAATGTCCTTTAATTGCTATATTTGAAAAACAGTTAATTATACTCTTCTTTTTGTCAAATATTGATCCCACTTTTATTTCATCCAATGAAGCATTTTCTCTTAATATCGTAGTTGGGGATTCTTTTTGTTTCGAATTTGAGCTTCGTTGTAACGACCCGGCCGGTCGTTTCAGGAGTTACCGCTTTTTTCCCCCTATTTTTGCTTCTTTGCGCTTTGTTCACCTATGTTATACTGTATCAGGTTAGTCGGTTCGAATCCGGAATGGTTTTGGTAAGGGTTGAGACACTTAGTCTCTTAAGTTGGTCTTTAGTTGGAAAAGTCAACCGGAAGTTGACTTGTGAGCATATGATCTCGAAATTTGGTTTTTATGATTTAGATAGCTTCGGGAGGTGATTTGGGACTTAGGAGCGTGATCGGAATATGTTTTGGAGGTCCGGAATAGATTTAAGATAGAATTGGCGTAAATGGACTTTTGGCGTTTTCCGGTTGATAGTGGAAATTTTGATATCGGGGTCGGAATGGAATTCCGGTAGTTGTAGTAGGTCCGTTGTGTCATATGGGATGTGTGCGCAAAATTTCAGGTCATTTGTACGAGGTTTGATAGACTTTTTGATCGAAAGCGGAATTCGGAAGTTTTGGAGTTCTTAGGCTTGAATCCGTGGTTGATTTGATGTTTCAATATTGTTTTCGGTGTTTCGAAGATTGGCATAAGTTTGGATGGTGGTATATGAATTGCTCGTACTTTTGGTTGAGGTCTCGGGGGCCTCGGGGTGATTTCAGATGGTTGACGGTAGGTTTGGAGTAGGAAATTTGCAGCTGAAGTTGCTGAAGCTCCTGTCATAACCGCACCTGCGGCTTGGGAACCGCAGGTGTGGGCCCGCAGAAATGAAAAAGGGGTCGCAGATGCAGCCAAGGGAATAAATGACTGAAGCCGCAGATGCGGAATTATAGGCGCACCTGCGAAGGCGCAGGTGCGGGATCTTGAACGGAGGTACGAGTCTTGAGCGGTTAAGTGATTTTCGTAGGTGCACATCTGGGACCGCAGGTGCGGGTCCGCATGTGCTAGTATTTTGACCGCAGATGCAGTTTTGCTGGGACAGAACATATAAATTGAGTCCTTCGCGATTTTGGGTTATTTTTCATCACTTTTTATACGGGATAGAGCTTGGGAGAGCAAATTGAAGAGGGAATTCAAGAAGGTTTCATGGAGGTAAGGTTTTTGGACCCTAAACTCATTTCTATGGTGGTTTTTGACTGATTAAACTTGAAATCTATGGAATTTAGTAGCAAAAATTGGGGGTTTAGGGCTTGGGAATTGGAGACCTAAATTTAGGGATTTGAGGGGTCATTTGTGGTTGGATTTTGGTATATTTGGTATGTATGAACTCGTTGGGGGATAAGGATTCTATTGATGTAATTTTTATCGGATTCCGAGACGTGGGCCCGGGGGTCGGGTTTGGCCAATTTCGGGATTTGTGATGTAATTTTATTAATTTTGTATGGGTTTCACTCCTTTAGCGTATATTGATGGCTATTAATTGATTTTGGTTAGATTCAAGGCATTTGGAGGCCGAATCGAGAGGAAAGGGCATCGCGGGCTACAGTTTGGCTTGGCTTGAGGTAAGTAACGCTTCCAATCTTGGTTCTGAGGGTACTAAACCTCGAACTATGTGTTCTATGATTATTATAAAGGTGACGCAATGCCATGTGACTGGCGTGTGGGCATGCACCGTGAGAAACGCGGCCTGGATCATTCCAGAGCACCGCTTAGTGGTTCCTTTTTACCGATATCTGTGTTGTAATTATGTGATTTAGTTGATGAGCTGAGAATCATGCTGATTATCATGTTAAGGCTTCATGCCAATATTATTGAGACCAAAGAGGTCGTTTCTTGCTGTCATATCATTTGTTTTGTTGATATTCTGTACTCAGTCCTATTCATGTATATTATATCATGTCTCAGTCTCGATTATTACTATTTGACATATCATACTATTGTCCGGGCTAGTACCGTGACATTTTGAGCCGTGTGTGTGAGACTGGTGAGTTATGACTGAGTGAGGCTGAGAGCCTGATATTGAGTGGCAGTATGATCGGCTGCACGCCGCAGCGAGATATTGAACAAGCCTTCGTTGGCTTTGTTGTAACGCTTGGGCTAATGAGAGAAGCCCCTCTGGAGTCTTTACTCCCCCAGTGAGCGCAGTTGATGATATTGAGGGAAGGATTTTCCCTGGACATGGATCTTATCCGAAGTATTATACCGGGAGATGGATCTTCTCCGTGAGGCTGGATTGGCCTGTGTCCTCGGTATTGGGTGACTGCAGTCAGTGATATATATTCCGGGATGGATCTTCCTTGGGCCGGATGGCCATATACAGTACCGAGTGGTTGAGCACTTGTGAGTGGAGGTTCGTGGAACATTGATCATGCTAGTTGTGCATATGGTATATATATAAAATCTCTGAGTTTTGAACTTTGTACTGTTCAGTTGCATTTAAATACTGTCGAGATTTACTTGAACTGTAAGCATGTCTACTTTCCTGTTCAGTTATATGTTATTACCTGTTGAGGTTTGGTCGTCACTACCTGTCAGTCCATAGGTTGGACTTGTTACTTACTAAGTTAGTGTACTCACGTTATCCCCCTGCACCTTGTGTGCAAATCCAAGTGATTCGGGTTACGGTAGCGGCTGCTGATCATATTATTGCGGACTTTTACTTGGAGATTGCGAGGTAGCTACTTGGCTACCGCGGTTCCGCCTTCTCCTTCCTTATCTTCCATTAGTTTATCTGTTGAATATTCTCAAACTGTGTTAGTCTTGTTATTTCGAAAAGTTGTAGTAGTTTTTGCTCATGACTAGTGACACCTGAGGTCGGGCTTGTATTTCTTTCCACTGGTTTTGGATTTCTATTTTTATCTTATTGGACTTCTGCTAAAAATACGATTTTTCTTAAGCTTTTAAATTGAAAAAAAAATGGAGAAATTAGAAATAAGTGGCTGGTCTAGTTCCACGATAGGCGCCATCACGACTGGGTCGGTTTTTGGGTCATGACATGTTGAGCTTCAACCACATCTATTTCCATTATTTGTTGGCATTTGTCTTGATTGTCATGTTGAGTTTCTCTATTGATATGTTCAAAGGTGCTTGTAGAACCAAAAACTCTTTCCGAAACATCAACAATGAAACGACAGCCCTTGAAGAGTGAATGACTATTTAGTAACTCTATACATGTGTGAAGATCTAAATCTTTGGATACAAGCATTCCCTTGCTTGTTCCAGGTTGATATCAAACCATATCATTACTTCAAACTTGTCTCTATCCAATTCAATAACTTCAAAGACCTGTTTAATGAAATCTTCAAATCGAATTGCCTCATGTACTAGAACAAGCTTTGTTTGATGATCAAGATACTGTAACGACCCGGCCAGTCATTTTTGGAATTTACGCCCCGATCCCCCCTTAACTGCTTCCCCTAATTTCATTTCTGCTATTTTGGTTTGCCGGGATGTTTGGTGTTAGGATTCAGAGTGTTTTGGGACACTTAGTCCCTAAATAGAGCTTAGGTGTTGAAAAATGGTCCGAAGTTGGAACAGTGTGAAGACGACCTCGGAATGGAAATTCGATGGTTCCGTTAGCTCCGTTAGGTGATTTCGGGGTTGGGAGCGTGTTCGAAATGTATTTTGGAAGTCCGTAGCTCATTTAGACTTGAAATGCCGAAGTTTGAATTTTTGAAGTTTCCGGTCCAATAGTGAGTTTTTGATCCGAGGGTCGGATTGGAATTCCGGAAGTTGCAGTAGCTCCGTCATGTCATTTGGGATGTGTGTGCAAAATTTCAGGTCATTTGGACGTGTTTTGGTTAGGTTTTTGATCGAAATCGTATTTGGAAGGAATTTGAAGTTCTTAGGCTTGAATCTTTGATTAATTCGGGTTTCCGGCGTTGTTTTAGGTGTTTTAAAGATTGGTACAAGTTTAAATAAGGTATTAGGTGGTATTCGTGCTTTTGGTTGAGGTCCCGGGGGCCTCTGGATGATTCCGGGTGGTTAACGGAGGAAAATTTCTAAGTTTGCAGCAGCTGGTATTTAGTTCCTTCTGGCATTTTCGCTTCTGCGGCTTGGGAACCGCAGAAGCGGCTCGCTCATCGCAGAAGCGAGTTTGGTCCCCCCCTCAGGAACCGCAAAAGCGGTTACTTATCCACAGAAGCGGAGGTCTGACCTTTTAAAAGAAGCCGCAGAAGCGGCCAGTGTTTCGCATAGGCGGGACCGCAGAAGCGGTCCCTAGACCGCAGAAGCGGAATTCACTATACAGATATAGAAATTCGAGGGTTTTAATTTCATAAGTTGGAGAAATCAATTGAGAGCTCGGTTTTAGGCGAATTTGAGTGGGTTTCGAAGAGAAGATCACTGGGTAACGTTTCTTTGGTCCCTTTTAGTTATATTTCATCATTATATAGTTAAATACATCATTGGAATTCGAATTTAGGATCAAAAATTGGATAATTTGGGGTAAAACTTTATTGCCTAAACTATTGAGTTTTGAGTGGGCATTTGACCTCCGATTTGGGAGATTTTTATATGGTTAGACTCGTGAGAGTACGAGGGTTCTAAAAATGTGAAAATTATTCAATTCCGAGATGTTGGACTGAAGGGCATTTTGGTCATTTCACCTAATTTTACGCCGTAGCTTTGAATTTATTAGCAAAACCAGATGTTTGCTATGTTATTTATGATGTGTAATTGAATTGAATAGATTTGAGCCATTTGGAGTCAGATACTCGTGGCAAGAGCGTGGTTTCTAGTTTATATTGAGCCGGTTCGAGGTAAGTGGCTTGTCTAACCTTGTGTGG